CTTGCCGCCGGGGGCGGGGCTCGGCCGGGCAGGATCAGGCGCATGCGCGCTGGGGGTGGAGCGGGCTGGGCTGCTCCCTTGGTGTGCGTGGTGGTTATATGGCGGCCTCCGCCCCTCGCTGTGCTGGGGGCCGTGGAAAAGGGCTCTGCTTGCTCTTTTGTTTTCAAGCATCTTTTTTTTCTCTCCCTTCTTCCCTCCTTTTCTCTTTCAGTCTTCTCAAGTTGAGGTGTCATTGGGGAGCTTAGCTAGCGCTGTGCTCCAGGCAGGCAGGGTGGCAAAGGGGAAGCCGACTTTGAAAGTGTGAGGAAGCGATGCAATTTCCTGCGTCGTTTCTCCTCTGTTACTTTTCCCCCTGGGAAATGCCTGTCTTGACGTGTCTGAAGCTGGGTCCTTGCTGCTGCTGAAATGCTGTTTCTGCTCGGTGTCATGCGGCTCAGTTACTGGAGCTCTGCAGGAGCCTTAGGCCTTCTTGAAGCATTAGGAGAGTCAATATTACAGCGCCTACTCTAGCGCTGAAGATTACGTGCTGTACTTCATTCACTTCTTAGCCAAAAGAAAGCAGTCCTGCTTAGTGCCTGTGTCAAGGCTTGCAATAATGTTTGGAGTTGTAGATAATTTTCCTCGCAGTTATTCAGTAACTGCCTACGAACCACAACACTGGGGAAATCCTGTTTTTAGATTAACTCTAATCTTAGCCTTTAAAATCTAAGAAAAATTTGTCTTGAGGCCTAGTTTGCACTCCACTGTGCTACTTGCAAGTTGTGAAACAATGTGGGCTAAAGTAGGAAATTGTTCTTAGAGGTCACTGTGATCCTGTTTCCCCTTGAAAGCTGGGTAATGGTGACTGCTAATGCTGATCAAAGCTATGAATGCAAATGTATCTACTGGTTCAGACCAGGCTATCACTTTTCAAATGTACACTTACATTTCAGCAACCCTAAAAATGCATGCAAGAGTGTATGCTCATGCTTCTTGTAACTAACTTAATTTTTATATGGGCAGAAAATAGTATTGTTTTAGAGTATGGTATGACTATTTTCATAGCTGGATAATGTCTTGAAGAAGGTAGCCCTATCAGATTAGGTAACATGACAGATTTCATATTCAAGTCAGAAATTATACATTTCTATAACCAACACTAAATCACTGCCTTTCACCACTTCTGTTTTCTTACTGAAAAGTTTCAGTGCTGGAACTACTGCAAACCCTCCATTGGTCTGCTTGGGGCACTTCTCTCAAGTAATCTTTCTTTTGCTGCATGAACTGGGAAAAGAGCTTTCAAAACCGTAATAAGCTTGCAAAATTAGACTGTAGACTATGAAAGTTGAGACTTGACCCATTCTCCATTTGGAAAATTAAGCCCGTAAACATAGGCTATGTTTTTGGGGTTTTTTTCACGAACTGCCAGCTTCTTTCTCCAGACTGCTCTCATAAACACCCACTTTTCATATACTTTTTACATATTTTAGTCTTGAAGAGACATGCTAGAATGCAGTAATGCTCTGTACCAAATGTTGAAAGGCTGATGCAGCCTGTTCTTTAACCACTCCACTGGAATGGATACGTATGTTTTGGATATCACAGGATATTTAATGTAAAGGGATGTCATTCATCGGTTTGATATTTTTAAACATTTACCTCAAAAAAAGAGGTCGCTTTCTGGTGCATCCATTCCCATCAATATATTTGTGAAATTTAGAAGCAAGTAGTAAATGAAGATCCATTGATCCATTGAAGATCTATGCCATCTATTTGCTGATCTGTGGTCGAGTCTGGTATAAAACTCTTCCTCTTGGGTCTCATGCTGTACTTTTTCCTGTTCTTCCGCATTTTAACAAGGAATTATGTCTACATGTTACTATGTAGTAATTGCTCGTTAGAGGTGTATGTGTGATTTTTGAGGCAAAGGGAATCAAATAGTATGAGGTTTGAATAGGGAAAATGCTTTCTCCGGGGTTTTATCTTTATTTCATTTTCTATACACTTGATGATAGCATATTAGCATGTGCTTATTTTGGGAGTAGTAGTCAATGACTGTTTCTTCTCTTGTTCCTGGCCTGATGTTTGAAACGTTATATCTACATAGACATGAAAGCAAGACCTTGATTGGTGGCTGTAACTGATTCCTGTGTCACTTTTTCCTCCACACCAGGGCCTTTCTTCTGTCAGAGTGTTTTAACTACCAATTTATGCAGCTTCAGTGCAGCCTGTTGAGCTTATATGGTGTTATTTCACAATAAGCACAATATTAAAACTGCATATTCGCACTTTTGGTGGGACAAGTATAATGAAAAGGTACCTTTTCAGAGCTTATGGTTCAATTAAGTTCTTAATGATGACATATTTTGAGAGCTTATCCAGACCAGAATTTTTGATAGTTATTATAAAAGTCTTTAGAGAATAGGGGTTAAGAGTTTATTGTCTTTTTTTCTGAATCAAAAAGCGCTGGAATTATGCCAGGGATAAACCAAAATGGGCTCATGATGAATGACTGCATAATTCTGAGTAACTCTGGAACTGTTTCATTCCGTTTCATGCATACCATTGATTTCACGTCTGCTCTTTGTCATACGATGTTAATGACCGAAGTGACTTACTTTCAGATGACTAACATTCTTTTTACAAAGTAATGAAAAGCAGTTGTAAACGTTGCTGAGACTGAGGCAACCTTTGAGGCAAAACTAGAGATAGGTTTCCCTTTCGAGTAAATCTTTTTATCTATCCTAATACATGCTCGTGTGCCCGTGCCTCAGTAGCTGTGATGACTACCTGCTAAGAAACACGTTGGAGACCTTAATCACATACTTACATGTATTGTATGATCTCCTGTGATCTCTTCTGTAGCTCTGTAGTTAGCATGCGTGCTGGCACTGCAATTTAGTCAGTGCATTTTGGATGCTGGGTTTCTTGCATGAGTTCCTAGTGCTCCTCCTGCTTCTCTACCTGAATTAGGATTTCTCACGATGGGAGAACTTCTGACCTTCCCAGCTCTTGTGCAAAATTTCTCTTAGCCTGCCAGCATATCAGGTCGTCTATCCTGAAAGCTTTGTATGCATGCATGCAACGTATGTGTCGGCCATACACGGACCATGCATCTGAGAGCAGTGGAAGAGCTTTCTGGGTACATATTTGTGATATTGTTGTGGAGTAAAGAAAAACCTATGTGAAATGATGGACATGTCCATTTCTGGAAAAGAAAAATGACTGTGTGGAAGGAGGGGTTCAGGA